CGTTCGTTTGCTTATTTACTTACATATTTATTTATTCGTTTCTTTGCTTATTTATCCATTAGTTTGTTTATTTATTAGTTTATTTATTTATTTATTCATTTATTTATTTGTTTATTTATTTATTTATTTATTTATCTACTTATTTATTCGTTTCCTTATTTATTTGTTTATTTATTCATTCGTTTACATATTTATCTATTCGATTATTTATTTGTTCATTGGTTTATTTATTTATTTATTTATTTAATTCCTTATTTATTTAATTTATTCTCCTGGCAAACATATTTGTGAACGTTCTATTGCGTAACTTTGTTAGACTCTAAAGCAGAATTATTTTTTTAAAATATATTATAGGCATCAAATTATCGTTCCCTATGAATATTTCACACTTCAATTCTATCACAAGAAATAGACTGCAAATTTAGTTTCAAGAAAATTAAATTTAAAATTTTAGTTTAATTCAAAAAACGGAAAAGAATATGGTCGGCAAAAGATAACAACAAAATATGGATGAAGACAGTGATCTCAACCAGAAAACGTCTGATAAACCTAATAAGTACTTCAAAATTAATTTTGTTTAATTTTATTTCATAAATTCTTCGCTGAAAAACCAACTGTTCACTGAATTGGCTAATATTTAATTTAGTGAACAATTTTTTCTTATTTTGTTTTTTATTTATTTATTTATTTTTTCCTAACAGAAGTAAAAGGTTAAGTGGAATTTTCTGTTGCTTCAACAATTTTACATTCTGATCAATAACATTTACCATCATTGGCTTAGTATACGGTAAACTTTTTGGTATTCAATACAGTAACCATTCTGGAGAAGTTAAGAATAACCTTCTAGTTCTATCATTTTCATGTCATGAACCCATCTATCTTTTCGTAATTTGATTATATTAATTAATTAATTAATTAGTTAATCTTTAACTCTTAATCTTTCATCTTTTGCATTACTCCAGTGCCATTCTTCATTTCTGAAAGAAATTACAAATTTCCATGTTTTACAATTTATTACTTATTGTGTTGTATTTAATTTTTGCTCGATATTATGCAAAAATATTTTAGTAAGAGAATGAAAAAAAGCGCTAAGATCAAAGATGAAGAAATGAATAAGAAAATTATTCATTTCAGAATATATTCATAATTAAATAAGAAAAATTTGCATGCAAAAAAATTAATATAAATTTGAAAAGGCTCACATTCTATACATTTTTTTTTTTAATTTTACTTAATTAAAGCGCAGTAATGAACTTATCGAATATAACTGAAGCGATACAATCGAATGACACTGAATCATTATTATTCAATTTTACTAAGTTATCTCCTTCTCTCTCTCTCTCTCTCTTTCTCTCCCCAATATCTTCTCCTTTATTAGCAAAGAAAATTCCTTTTGTTAAGATACGAATAGAATCAAGTTTAATTAAAAAAAACAAAAATAAACTTTCAATCTGTTGACCTTCTTTATGGAGAGCAAATAAATTATCAGATGATAATGATAACCAAGTATAATTGAAGTAATACATTGGGATAGCATTAAACTACTGTCAAGATAAATTTGCTAATCATCATATGTAATCGATCAAGATAACATAGGAAAAATTAACAATATTAGCCTAGAAGCTTAGTTCTCATCTAATGGATGATGATAAGAACCTATGATAACCTATAATTTGGACCTCTTTCTACAATCCTATACTCTTTTCATTCATCATTTCTAGTACTTCAACTGATGTAAATCAATATCATACATTTATTCATCAACATCCAATCCTTGGCTATGATTTTATCCCGTTAATTATTGAACTAATTGGTATTATAATTACTGTAACAACATGTCTTCTGATGCATTTATTTATGAAAAAATCTTACAAAAATATCGATCAGCCAACATTACATCATTTAATTCATGAACAATATTATCGTAAACAATTGGATAAATTTTTAAATGAACAAGATAGAAAGAATGAAATGGTATGTGGTCAATTTTGAAATAAAATGTAAAAATTCATGCATAAATATTTCTTGCATATATCAAAATAATGAATGGTTCATCAAATTTTTCTTGACCAATGACCATTTTGACTTTTTTTTTTTTATATATCTGTAATATAGATTAACAATTTGAAAATATCATTTGAACTAAATTTTTAATGTATTAACTGAATTTGGAGTAACCATTATAATATTGAAAAAAAAAAAAAAGACCCTCATGTGATTCAAATTTTTGTTATCCATAAGATATCAAAAATTTGGACCAGTCTAATAATGGTCAGCGTAGACCACCAGTTTAAGAATCACTACAGTAAAAACAAATTTTGGTGTACTATTTTATAACACTTAAAAATTTTGAAATAATTTAATCAATCGAATTTTTAAACTTTACATCTTGTGTTGCATTAAATGTTTTGAATTTTTATTCTCATAAATCTAAAACATCTTAAAGTTTTAAATGAAATTTTACATTTTAAACTAATTGAAGCTTTTATGTTTAGCTATTGGAAGTTTGCATTTTAAGTTAAAATGTTTGCATATTTAAATTAAAATGTTTACAATTTCGGATGTATTTTTATCAAAAATTTTTATTTTACTTTTCTAATCCAATACAATTCATGCTATTTGAATATTTCTTGTAATATTAAAAATATTTTAAATATTTGGAAACAATCATTTCTATTTCAATATTAGACAATTTCACAACAACAAAGTGGGAAATTATCAATTGAAGAAAAGAAAGGAAATGCAAGTATGGAATAAATGATAACGTTGAGACAATAACAGGTTTTAAAGATTACAAATTTCTTAATAAAATATTCATAACCGGATAAGAATTCGGAAATGAAGACAAAAAAAGATAAAGATAAAAGCTTTCTCTCTCAAAAAAAAGAAAATTTTTTTTAAAATTTCCAAATTAACTTAAAATTAAGGTGAAAACCTAATAAAATAAGCATAAAGGTGTGCAAAAAAATATATACCTTTTCACTAAAATAACACAAATTACATTGTGATGATAATTTTTAAATTCCTATGCTTAAAACTATCTACATATAAGTTAAGTTGACAATAAATCATTCTGTCAAATAAGTTGATGTCACATTTTCTATTTTAAGCTATCCGAAAAATGACATTGATTTCGTCTTTTTTTTCTTTTCTATTTTAAAATTTTCCGAAATATATTTTTCAATTTTAAATTCCTGAGCTTAAATCTGTATAATTGAATTCGTAAAAAAAACGTATGACTAAGTTAATAACAATTGATCTTATCAAATAGACAACATTATATTTTTTTGCTTTATGCCTTCCAGAAAATGATAACAACAACTTTTTCAATTTTCTTTTTCTTTTTTTATTTTGAAATTTTTAAAAATAATATTTTTACAAATTTTAAAATATTCCTTCCCATCGAAAAAAAAATTGAAATTTTCAGATAAAAGTTAACATAAATATGCTTCAATTTTTAAACTTTAATTAGAAATGAAAAGTATTTTTGGAAATAATTATTGTGACATAATATTGCAATATCAATGAATATGATTGTTAAATCATTGATTAAAGGTACTTCTTTCTTTTTTTTTTTTTT